TGGGCATGGTGGTACGCGCCTGTAGTCCCAGCTACTCGGGAGGCTGAGGCAGGAGAATTGCCTGAACCCAGGAGGCAGAGGTTGCAGTGAGCCGAGATTTTGCCATTGCACTCCAGCCTGGGTAACAAGAGGGAAACTCGTCTCAAAAAACAAAAACAAAAACCATTGCCTTCTTCTAGTTAACAGCTGCACAATGATTCCCTTCTCAACAAACTTTTCAGGAAACATGATAAAGATTTATGTAGCGATATATGTAAAACTTAGCCAAGACCAAAAAGCGTATACCCGCCCTTTAGTAGAATTTCTGAGTTTGTGGTAAAATACTAATTTTAAAAAAGCATGTACCTTTGACACACCTAACTACTAAAGGACAAATGTAAATATTTATACAAAAGGATGTTCAGTATAGTGTTATTTTAGTTGGAAAAAATATATTAAAATATAGATTGTTGACATATTCAACTATTAGGGATTGGTAAATTAAAATAAGTCTGACAATACTATGAAGCCAACAAAAGCGATGTCACAGAATACGTAACTGGGGAAAGGTTCTAAATAAATGCAGAAAGGTTACACGATAGCATCTGTAGTATACAGCAAAGTAAAAGGTCTACTTTGCTGTATACTACAGATGTTATCGTGTAACCTTTGCTGTTTGGGGAAAAAAAAGTAAACCACGCCTATCAAACGTCACTAAAATTTGCTCTAAGTTTCAAGCCTGACAGATCCAATGCTTGAAGGTTCTATGTTACTAAATTAGATCACGCAAAACAAGTCAGTAATAATACTTGGCAAAAATGGCTGTGACTCTGCTTAAATGTGTTCTGCCAAGATACTGCATGGAACTTTAGAACAGCTGTGACATCATCTTCAGGATGAAGTTTAAATACTTCCCTACTTCTTTATGGGGTTGCCACACATTTGGCATGAAAACTTTTGCAATCTCGTAAATACTACAAGGCTACACACACAAATATCTCACCTAAGGGAGTCAACGCGTCAATGAGCTATAAGCCCCATTCTCATAAAATCTGCTTGTTCTTTAAAGCCTAATAAAGACTGTAAGAACAGTTTACAGTCAGTTATGTAAAGATATCAAGTAAAACAGTAACCAACCAAGGAGTAAGGGAGCATTAACTGAAATGATAACTGGGCTTAGAAGCAATCACAGGTATTGTCCTGAAATCCCAGTGGTTCTTAACGAGAATAAACTAAAAAGTAATCTGACACAAGAATAACAAGCTTATTTTCTTTTTTCTTTCTACTTCAATTTTCTGTGGAATAATTAAAGCTTTTCTTTTATTTGGTGTTTGTTCACAAGTTGAGAACTAGGATACTCACTTACCAAGAATCTTTACGGAACCTTTTTTTGTTTTTTTGAGACGGAGTTTTGCTCTTGTTGCCCAGACTGGAGTGCAATGGCACAATCTCGGCTCACTGCAACCTCTGCTTCCTGGGTTCAACCAATTCTGCCTCAGCCTCCCAAGTAGCTGGGATTACAGGCACATGCCACCACACCCAGCTAATTTTTGTCTTTTTTAGTAGAAACAGGGTTTCACCATGTTGGCCAGGCTGGTCTAGAACTTCTCACCTCAGGTGATCCACTCTCCTCGGCCTCCCAAAGTGCTGGAATTACAATTGTGAGCCACCGTGCCCAGCCTTTTTTTTTTTTTGCACTCCAGTCTGGGCTCTTGTTGCCCAGGCCAGAGTGCAATGGCCCGATCTTGGCTCACCGCAACCTCCACCTCCTGCGTTCAAGCGATTCTCCTGCCTCAGTCTCTCAAGTAGCTGAGATTACAGGAATGCACCATGCCCAGCTAATTTTATATTTTTAGTAGAGATGGGTTTTCACCATGGTGGCCAGGCTGCTCTAGAACTTCTCACCTCAGGTAATCCACCCTCCTCTGACTCCCAAAGTGCTGGGATTACAAGCATGAGCCACCATGCCCAGCCCTTTTTTTTTTTTGCACTCCAGCCTGGGCTCTTGTTGCCCAGGCCGGAGTGCAATGGCCCGATCTTGGCTCACCGCAACCTCCGCCTCCTGCGTTCAAATGATTCTCCTGCCTCAGCCTCCCACGTAGCTGGGATTATAGGCACGTACCACCACAACCCGCTAATTTTTTATTTTTAGTAGAGACAGGGTTTCTCTATGTTGGTCAGGCTGGTCTCAAACTCCTGACCTTAGGTGATCTGCCAGTCTCGGCCTCCCAAAGTACTGGGATTACAGGCGTGAGCCACTGTGCCTAGCCTACGAGTCTATCTAAACAAGTATGCTGTGCATTAAATTCATCATTTTCTTCCTGCTTTTAATCACAAGATGTAGGACGGAATTTCATAAGAAAGAAGATTAATAAGATAACACATTTTAAGTGGCTAAACCAAGCACCTAGGTGCCCCTCACGTGTTTGTAAATCTGCTATGCCACTAAAAGATCATGGCCTTCTTGTCCCTCTAGAAACAGAAACCTGATGACCTCTTTAGAGCCCTTCATATGTCTAGCAAAAAGCATCAACAAATTATTTTTTTATACAAGATACTGTAAATTTTATTTATTTTTTATTTTATAAAAGATGGAGTTTCACCATGTTGGTTAGGCTGGTCTTGAACTCCCGACCTCAGGTGATCTGCCCGCCATGGCCTCCAAAGTGCTTGGATTACAGGCGTGAGCCACCAAGTCCAGCCTCAATTTTATTTATTTTTGAGACAGAGTCTCGTCCTGTGGCCCTACTGGGGTGCAGTGATGCAATCATGGCTTACTACAGCCTCAAACTCCTGGGCTCAAACGATCCTCCTTTCTCAGCCTTCGAGTAGCTAGGACAATAGGTGTGCGTCACAATGCCCAGCTTGTTTTTTTTGAAATGGGTCTCACTACATTGCCCAGGCTGGTCTTAAAACTCCTGGGCCCAAGCAATACTCCTGCCTCAGCCTCCAAAAGTGTTGGGATTACAGGTGTTAGTCACCAAATCAGGCCAAAAGATGGCAGTAGATTTTTAAAAACTATTCAACTGTGGGGAAGGGAGGAGTTTAAAGGACTATCAAAAAGGAAAACTTTAGTAGTCAACTTTTTAATAATCTGGATCTCCATTCCCAATGCTTTTAGTTTCAATGACAAGTGTAACTGCACTTCTTATTAATCTGTACACACTGGAAGGTAAAATAGCAACTAACCCTACTTTAACAACTACGCAGCTTCAAGATTTCACCAGAGCCCTTTATCTACTGCTCAAAGAATTAAGTTCTCACAGAGCAGTGTAACAATGTCTCAGATCCTAGACCACGTATTAGATCCCTATGAATTCCTAACAAATTTAAGGAAAACATAAGCTTTTTAGGATTTATATTTGAGACTAATCAGCTCAAGATTCTTTCAACCATTAATATATAGATCTTCAAAGAAAAAAATGCTCTCCTTGTCCATAATCTTTTCACCTACTTCCTACATTTAACAATGTCTAGGCCAGCCATGGTGGCTCACACCTGTAATCCCAGCACTTTGGGACGCAGGAGCAGATCACTTGAGCTCAGGAGTTCAAGTCCAGCCTGGGCAATATGGCAAAAACCAGCTCTACAAAAAATACTAAAAACTAGCCGAGCATGGTGGTGGCACGTGCCTGTGATCCCAGCTACTCAGGAGGCTGAGGTGGGAGGATCACTTGAACACAGAAGGTAGAGAGGCTTGAGTGGGCCAAAATCATGCCAGTGCACTCCAGCCTGGGCAAGAGTGAGACCTGCCCAAAATAAAGTCTAAATCCCAGACAATACATGATCTTCTGCTCCAACCAGTTTTATCATCCTCTTACAATTCTAAAGTTTACATTTACTCAATACTCACAGAGCAAGCACTACCAACTTTCAAGTTCAACTCTAGTTTGAATCCATTCCCCATCATTCTGCCCAAGATTCCCACTTGTTACAAAGGAATCAGAAGTGACTCTTCAAGAATGAAACAAAATGATAAAGGCAAGAAATCAGTTTCTTCTGATTGTTTCCCGATTTCTATAACATTAACTTTTCTACTGTGAAAAGGGTATTGAAAAAAGTAAGCCAACTAACACAAATAAATAAAAAGTTCTTAAGAAACACTCTTTATACCACCCATTGTCACAGGGAAGACAGAAGTGATTTCAGGAGTTGGTGACGACACTGACTCTTGAAAATAATCAAAAAACCCCAGCTAGGCCAAGTTAATCCAATATAGAACATTTCTTTTTCTCTCTGCTCAATCTTCTGCTTTAATTTCTATGGTTCTATCACTTCCATTACCCCTCTGCATCTGACTCATTCCTCACCTCTTTCTGCATGATATAACCTTTATTTCCCTGTACTGTTTCTGCTTTCCTTTCAAAGTCCATATTTCTGTCCTCTACTAATGTTCTCACATTCCTACACAACAGGGTTCAAGTATTAAAATCAATTATGCGGCCGGGCGCGGTGGCTCACACCTGTAATCCTAGCACTTTGGGAGGCCAAGGTGGGTGGATCACCTGAGGTCAGGAGTTCAAGACCAGCCTGGCCATCACGGTGAAACCCCACCTTAAAAAAAAAAAAACCCGGTGGCTCACACCTGTAATCCCAGCACTTTGGGAGGCCGAGGCAGGTGGATCACAAGGTCAAGAGATCAAGACCATCCTGGTCAACATGGTGAAACCCCATCTCTACTAAAAAAAATACAAAAAATTAGCTGGGCATGGTGGCACGTGCCTGTAGTCCCAGCTACTCAGGAGGCTGAGGGAGGAGAATTGCCTGAACCCAGGAGGCGGAGGTTGTGGTGAGCCAAGATCGCACCATTGCACTCCAACCTGGGTAACAAGAGCGAAACTCCGTCTCAAAAAAAAAAAAAATACATATATATATATGCATATATATATATATATTATTGAACTCTTAGGTGATACTGTGTTCATTTACCGAATTTTTATTAACAGTTCACTACTTAATACCTCTTCTGTTCTCTCTAGTTGCTCCTTTCCTGAAAGTCTTAATAATAATAAGTGAGTTACCTTTTTAACACTTTCTTCTTCCTCTTGGCGTTTCTCATAGTGTGAGAAGTCATCAAAAATGGAAGTGGTGTGCTTGTAGCTGGCTATAATTTTCAACACCTGCTTAGCTTTTTCCAGAGGCACTTCCTGAGTGTCCCTAGAGTTGGTCACTGGTTTATTCTCGTTGTTCTCTAGGCGAATATGTCGCAGTTGGCTATTGGGAACGTCCTTCACAAAAATCCACCTGACATCAAAACGACCCTTCCATTTGTCCTGGGACCACACACCTGCACATGTGTTGTAGTCCACAGCAGATTTCATTTCTGCAACGCCACAGAAGTGTCCACTGCCGTTGACACTGAAAAGTAAGTAAACGGGGCCTTTCCCGTTCATGGAACGATAAGCAGCATCCAGTCTCTTGTTACCATGCTCTGTGCTGCACCAAATATTATACTTAATGGAACGGTGGATATCGTCCTCAGAGTAGCTCTTAATGATGAAAACCCGGCCATGTTTCAGATTCCAGTCAAAATCTTTGGGGTTATAGTTATTAATGGACCGAAGCTTCTCCAACACTGGGTGCGGTTCTGAAGGAGCAGATCCAGAACCAGCCTGAGACTGTCCTACTCCATTACCATCCACCCCATTATGACCGAACCCACTGCCACGGTTCCGAGGTGCTACCCAGCGGGTTGGCTGAGCTGCCTGTTGCTGGACTGAAAGCTGGGCAGGCTGTGGTGGAGGTGGAGGCAATGGCTGTGTCTGTTGCCCTACTGATGCCTGAGCCACTGGTGGGCTATTGTTAGCCTGCTGACCTACAGGCTGAGGCGACCCCTGGGTTGGCTGACCTATATTCTGAACCAAAGCCTGTGAGGGGGCTTTTGCAACAGGACCCTTGTTATCCCAAGTTCCAATATCCATGTTATGCTTTATCGGAGGTGGTGGAAGACTTGACCCTGCAATGCCATTCTTGGTCTTCAGTTTAGGTTGCTGTTTTGCAGGCTTGCTAGCAATATCAGCCCAGGATGCCGGTTTTGGAGGAGCAATGGTGGCTGGAGGCAAACTATTAGAAGCCACAATGTTACTAGTAATGGACCCGCTACCAACAGCAGAACCTACAACTTTTGGAACATTGCTTGCAACTTCTGTGCTACCCAACTTCAGTGCTGCCATCCCTTGGTCTATAGTATTCATGCCTGGAGCCTTATTGAGGGTCTCATTGGCAAAAGCTGACTGTCCATCAATCATGGCTCCACCCAAGGAGCTAGGTGCATAAGCATAATTGCTACTGTATCCAGAGCTCTGAGTAGACTGTCCCTGAGAACTACTGTTTCCCCATGCTGAGAAGTCAATCCCACTGGGAAAGAAATTAAAACCGTGCTGACCAAGAAATGGAGTGCTACCTAGGGCTCCTGGTTGCCCAAACATTGCGTCTGGTAGGAAGTGGGGCTCTCCGTTGCTCAGCTGTCCATAAGAAGTTAAGTAGGGCATGGCTGTGTCACCCCCAGTAGACCAAGCTGCTTCACCCAATGAATAGGAGAAGCCAATGGAGGGACTGTAGTAACTGGGTAAGTAGGAATCTGACATGGCAGTATATGCATTATTCTGTGGAAGAAAAAAAAGGCAAATCAAAACACAAAAATTAACATCAAGCTATTTCCTCCCCCAACCTAGTCATGCAACTCAAATATACTATAAAAAGGAGGCAGGGCAGGCACAGCGGCTCACACCTGTAATCCCTGCACTTTGGGAGGCCAAGGCAGGTGGATCACCTCAAGTCAGGAGTTCAAGACAGGCCTGACCAACATGATGAAACCCCATCTCTACTAAAAATACAAAAAATTAGCCAGGCATGGTGGTAGGTGCCTGTAATCCCAGCTACTTGGGAGGCCTGAGGCAGGAGAATCACTCGAACCCGGGAGGCAGAGATTGCAGTGAGCTGAGATTGTGCCACTAAACTCCAACCTGGGCAACAAGAGAGAAACTCTGTCTCAAAAAAAAAAAAAAAAAAAGAGGAGTGTGCAGCACATTCAAATGATTTCCTATAAACACACAGGCATTTTTTTTACAGCGTAAGAAATTTTGGTAAATAACTGAAACATTTAAAGTTAAGCAGATACAGTGATTATAGGCCTTAACTTTAGCACTAAACCTAGGAGAAAACGTAGCATTTCACGAATTATTTTAAGTCCTGAGTGTTGAGATGATCCTTTTATCAAAACCAATGATTTTTATATTTTAAGAGTATGAATTTTGGCAGAATGAAGGAGGGTCCAAAAGAGTTTCCTACCCGAACCAGACAATAAATCAAAGAATAACAAAACAAAAAGAAACGGAAATTTCAAGTTCTAGCCCAATGTCTGTGCAGCCATTCCTCAATCATAAACTAAAAAGCAAGGTTCACTACCAGTTTATACTGCTAGCCTCTTGGCAAACTATCTGGGAATATCAACAGATGCCACTACTCAGTTATAATCTGAAAAGGAAATGCACAGTAGTTTCCAGAGGATTTAAAATGAGAAAAATGGCTGGGCACAATGGTTCCTGCCTGTAATCCCAGAACTTTGGGAGACAAAGGGGGTGGATGACTTGGGGTCAGGAGTTCGAGATCAGCCTGGACAACATGACAAAACCCAGTCTCTACTAAAAATACAAAAAATTAGCTGGTATGGTGGCACACATCTGTAGTTCCAGCTACTCAGGAGGCTGAGGCAGGAGAATACCCTGAATCCAGGAGGCAGAGGTTCCAGTGAGCCCAGATGGCACTACTGCACTCCAGCCTGGGCAACACAACCAGACTGTCTCAAAAAAAATAAATAAATAAACACAGGCTGGGCACGGCAGCTCACACTTCTAATCCCAGCACTTTGGGAGGCTGAGGTGGGCAGATCACTTGAGGCCAGGAGTTTGAGGCAGTGTGGTCAACATGGCAAAACCATCTCTACTAAAAATACAAAAATTGGCCAGGCATGGTGACATGTGCCTGTAATCCCAGCTACTCGGGAGGCTGAGGCAGGAGAATCGCTTGAACCAGGGAGTTGAAGGCTGCGTGAGTCAAGATCGCATCACTGCACTCCAGCCTGGCAAAAGAGCAAGACTCCATCTTGGAGGGGAAAAAGAAAAAAAAAAAAAGTTCAGCCTATAATCAATGTATTAAACTTGAAGTATTATACCAATCTAGGGTAATGAAAAGTTGGCTAAAAAGTAGATGACTTACTCTAGACAATAAACTAGATTCTCAGGTTACCCTTCCTCATCTATACATCTAAGATTTATATTACCCAAGTTTTTTTTTTAAATGAAGACATAAGCTTTGGCTTACCTGAGAAAGAAAAATCAAATGCACTTAATAACACAGGTTAGGCCAAAATACAGCTGAATGTCTACACCTGAACTGGCAGGCTCCCACATGCCCAAGCTCAAAAATCTGAATTACACAATGTTTTACAAGAAGTACCTAGAATTATGCCTCTAAATGCTCCCACTTTCCCTGTTTTAATGATTATGTAAGCAAACTACTTCAATAGCAGGAACCTATTAATAGTTCATTCCTCTACTTCCTTCCCTACTTTTCCTGATTAACTGGTTGTGTTTTGTGAAAACTTTTTTTCCAATCACTTGCTCAAGTGGTTTCTATATTTTCAATGTTGAAAATTTTACATGGGGAATCTACAAGTTTTATGTAACAATCAGATCCACATATGGGCATGCAATTAGGACTACCAACCGTATTTCATACAGCATATGTTCAGAACTCACATAAATGTCCCATAAACTTCTTGATCTTTTAGGGCATTTTGCAAGATATACTGCCAATTTTCCTTTCGTCTATTAATCTGGGGAGTTTTATTAGTTACAACTATGGAACTATGTCTTTGGGATCAGAGATAATACAAAACAACTGCTGAATCAAGTTTCTACATGCACAGGTCATGTTAGTATTTTAAGCCACATGCAACTTTACACTAAAAGATTACACTGCAAAAACTTCCAACGTTATTGATCTTCATCTGTGCTAAACAGTATTTTAACTTTCACTCCACTTTATAAATCCTGTCCTTCCCTTCAGTGAGAATCCAGAGGTATAAAGTTAGTTTCTACAGATGTAGGTGCAACTCAAATCAAGTTTCCCGAGTCCCCCAGGCATGGTGGCTCAAGCCTGTAATCCCAACACTTCTGGGAGGCCGAGGAGGGTGGACTGCTTGAGCTCAGGAATTCAAGACTAGACTGGGCAACATAATGAAACCCCTATATCTGTACAAAAAATTAGCCAAATATGGCTGTCCCAGCTACGTGGGAGGCTGAGGTGGGCAGATCACCTGGTAGGCAGAGGTTGCAGTGAGCCAAGATCATACCACTACACTCCAGCCTGGGTGACAGAGTGACATTATGTCTCTAAAAAAAAAACCCAATTTCCTAAGAATGGGAGGAAAAAAAAAAAACAATTTCCTAACTCCAAAATAGTTCTGATAATCTAAGAACTGATAAACTAGAGAAAAAGAGAGCCAGTCTTGCAGCACTGAATAAAGCTCAGGTGACTACATTTTACAGACCAAGTTCTTATTCTGTCACCAAGGCTGGAGTACAGTGGCTTTTCACAGGTATGATCATAGCTCGCTGCAGCTTCAAACTCCTGGGCTCAAGAGATCTTCCCACCTTTAGGTGATTTTATATTAGAACTTTCCCTATCACATATTTATCCATAATTTTCTGGGGTGAAAATTCAGGATATTTAACACCGGCAAGAATTCTTAAATTCTGCACTGCTACATTCTTGGTAAGGAGGAGGACAATTATTTCTGCACATGTTACTGCTGGTAAAGTGTTACCAGTTATTATGTTCTCAGTACAATATGTTTGCTGACATTACAGAGACAGGAACCTTAATAGCCTAGGACATTTGCAATAACTGTTTTATAATACATTAATAGGTATTAAGGAAGTGAACCCTCAGAACATGGGATTTCCTGACACAGGGCAGAGAAAGAATATAGATATTAAGAAAGTGAATCTGGCCGGGTGTGGTGGCTCATGACTGTAATCCCAGCATTTTGGGAGGCCAAGGCAGGCAGATCACGAGGTCAGGAGTTCAAGACCAGCCTGGCCAACATGGTGAAACCCTGTCGCTACTAAAAATACAAAAATCAGCCGGGCATGGTGGCACATGCCTGTAATCCCAGCTACTCTGGAGGCTGAGGCAGAAGAATCGCTTGAACCCAGGAGGCGAAGGTTGCAGTGAGCCAAAACTGCACCGCTGCACTCCAGCCTGGACGACAGAGCAAGACATTAAAAAAAAAAAAAAAAAAAAAGGTGCATCTGAGGCCTGCTGTGGTGGCTCACACCTGTAATCCCAGCACTTTGGGAGGCTGAGGCGGGAGAATCACCTGAGGTCAAGATGGAGTCCAAGACCAGCCTGGCCAACATGAAACCCCATCTCCACTAAAAAAATAGAAAAACTAGCTGGGTGCGGTGGTACACACCGCTAATTGCAGCTACTCCGGAGGTTGAGACAGGAGATAACCCGGTTCACTGAGGTTGCAGTGGGCCGAGACTGCGCCACTACCTGGGCGACGGAGCGAGAGACTGTCTCGAAAACAAAAAAGAAAGTAAATCCTCAGGAAATGGGATACAATGGTAAAAGGCAGCGAAAGATTAAATATACTACACCCCTCGATCAGATACGTAAATAGTGAATTACTCACCGGCCTTGCCTGTGGACTCAAGTATGGTTCAAAATCATCATCATTTAATCCATCCTTTTGATGTACAGATCCATTTTGTACTAAAGAAAAAAAATTCAAATTAAGAGTGTCCCAATCCTACAATCTTCCTCCCAAATTAGTTCGTCTTTCTCTGCCTTTTCTCTGCTAACCAGAGAAAAACCTTACTAGTGAACAGAACATATAAGATTGAACTTCAAAAGTTAACAGATGAGAGTGAATGCTGAAGCAATAGTCGCCAGTGAAAATGTCCCCCTCCACCCAGAGCAAGCTGATCTAAAAAGGTCATTTTACTGGCTCCTCTTGATTTCCATTCCCTCCTGCTTCCCCTCCCCCATCACATGAGCGTACTTCCAGAGAGTGATCCACGAGGATGAAAAACAAAGGCCTTCTAAGACCTACAGGAAACTAAGGACCTGGAGCGTTTCAAAACCCAATCCACCCCCACCCTTAATGAATTACTCCTTGTTAGCGAAAAAGCTGTACGCCAGCTGCAAGAACACACCGAATGGGTCAAAGACTTAAGTGTGCGGCACCTGCGAACTAAGCGGCTTCCGAAAGGTCCCCCGCCCGGGGCGCTTCCCGGAGACCCCGCCCCCACCGCCCCGCGTCCCCCTGCCGGCCCAGGGCCACTGGCGGAGCGGCGCTTACCTTTGTTTCCTTGACCTTTTGGTCTCTGCAGGGGAAGGAAACGTCGCCGAGCAGCAAGTTGTCCAAAGGAGAAATAGAAAAGGAAGAACAAATTAAGGCAGGGCTCGAGGAGGGAATAAAGGAGCAGGCCCGAGGAAAGGCGTCAGGAATGGTGGTGAGGAAGAGGCTGTAAACGGGAGGCGGGGGAAAGCGCCAAGCCCGCGGGACCGGGGAGAAAACGCGGCGGAGGCGCCAGCGGCAACGCGAAGAACCCAGGGCTCTAAGGAAGGGGAAGGAAACAAGGAAGGAAAATGAGGCCCGCTGAGAGAAGGGAACGCGGCGCTGCCCGGGCTGTGGGCTCCGAGGCCCAGGGAGAAGCGGGAAGAGCAGGTTGAGAGCGAGGCGCCGGGCGCGGCCGGCCTGAGAGGCCCGAAACTCGGCCCCCGAGAGGCGCCGCCTCAGCTCGGCCTGCCCGGGGGCGGCGGGCCCGGGCCTAGTCGGGCTCCTTCTCTTCCCACACAATGGCCGAGGCATGCGGGCCGGGCCTGTACCTGCTCCAAAAGGCTGCTGGCCGACATGGCTCTCGGATCCTTGCGGGCAGCGAAGGCGGCGAACTCTTCTCAGCGCGGCGGCGGCGGCAAATGAGCCCCGGCTGCGGGAGCAGGCGGCGGCTTTTGTCCCTGACACTCGGGGGCCTCGGCGGGCGCAGCGGAGACACAGCGCGCGGCTCAGGCTCCGGCTCCGACTCGGCGACGCTCTAGCCCAAGAGCTCAACGCCCGTCTCTATGCTTTCACGCGCGCGCCCGCCCCTCACAGCCGAAAGCAGATAGTCGAACAGCGGAGGCGGAGGGCGCGCGCGGCGCGAGCGCTGACTCTTAACATTCACTCACCCACGCGGAAGGGGCCCGGCGCGAAGCACCTCGGGAAGGGAAAGGCCGGCCGCGGCGCCCTCTGGCGGACTGGAGGAGCGGAAGCTGCACGCACGGCCTCCCCGCCCCCACCGCCCCAGGATTAAGGCCTAGGGGGTTGGGGGCGATCAGGATCGAACAGGAGGTTTTGACTCACACCTGGAAAGAGTAGCTTTGGCTTCCGAAAACTACAAAAGCCGGTTTCTCAGTGAGGGAGGGGCCTCCGGAGCCCGCGAGACCTTAAAAGGAACCTGCCACCCAGCTGCAAGTGCTACCCTACCCCCATCTGGGAGGTAACCCGATCCCGGGGCTGGGGAGGGGGAAATCTCACAGCCCCCAGGGAAACTTCATGGGGGCCCTGTCCGGGAGTGGCCCGCCCCGCCCCCTGCAAGGGGCTTGGTCATCTTCCTCTGTTAGCCGACTACAAAAAGAGTACCCAAACACTCCCCGAAAGAATCCGGTTGTCCGCAAAAGAGATTCGCCCCTTAGCATTGCAGGAAGGAGAATCTACAATTTCTTTTCGAGGAAATCGCTGGCCTCCAAGATAATCTGTTAAACTGTGGACTTTATTTCCAAGAAAAATACACCTCACGCATCTACACAAAACTTTCAAGGAGTCCAGAGAACGTATGAATCCGAAGGACCTCAAGAGGGAAGAAAGGAAATTAACATTATTGAAATACCTGCTGTGGGCCAGGCTTTGTTGTTAGGTATTTTCAAACACATTAAAGTCTTTAGACAACTTCAAAATCGTTATCAGTTTTTCGATTTTATACGACTGGAAAAACAGAAAGGTTAGGTAATGTGCCCAAATTTACGAAGCTGTTAAATAGCCAGGTGTATCTGACACTAAGAGAAACATAATGGTATCTCTCTAACCCCACGAGAGAAACCCTGTATTCGGGAACCAGAATCTAGGGGAGATCCAAAGGATGGGCAAAAGCATTTCAATGAGAAAGCCAACTCATACAGGAATATTTGATACTAGGAAAGCCATCTAATAGCTTTTGTTACTGCAAGTACGTCGCGGTAAACAGGCAACTAATGCACTAATTGTCAACCTCATGCTGTCCACACGCTGGATACAGGAGGCTTGGGTGAACTCAGTAGTAAAATAACATGGCATCTTGTGTTTAACATCATAACTTTGCTCAAAATGCTCAAAACATTTTTTTCCCTGCCCATAATCACATTTATGGTAGGAACGAAAAAGATCAGTTACCAAAGGTGAAGGACTTTTAATGGATACAGTAAAATGTCAAATCTCAGAACATAGAATCCAAGGAAATAGAAGAAACCTATGCCGGGCGCGGTGGCTCACACCTGTAATCCCAGCACTTTGGGAGGCCAAGGCGGGTGGGTCACGAGGTCAAGAGATCGAGACCATCCTGGTCAACATGGTGAAACCCCATCTCTACTAAAAATACAAAAAATTAGCTGGGCATGGTGGCGCGTGCCTGTAATCCCAGCTACTCAGGAGGCTGAGGCAGGAGAATTGCCTGAACCCAGAAGGGGGAAGCTGCGGTGAGCCGAGATCGCGCCATTGCACTCCAGCCTGGGTAACAAGAGCGAAACTCTGTCTCAAAAAAGAAAAAAAAAAGAAACCTAGTAATTACTTCTTTTTAAAGATAATCAGCCAGGCGGGGCCGGTGGCTCACGCCTATAATCCCAGCACTTTTGGAGGCCGAGGCGGGTGGATCACGAGGTCAAGAGATCAAGACCATCCTGGTCAACAAGTGAAACCCCGTCTCTACTAAAAATACAAAAATTAGCTGGGCATGGTGGTGTGCGCCCGTGAGTCCCAGCAACTCAGGAGGCTGAGGTAGGAGAATTGCTTGAACCCAGAAGGCGGAGGTTGCGGTGAGCTGAGATCATGCCATTGCACTCCAGTCTGGGTAACAACAGCGAAACTCTGTCTCAAGAAAATAAAATAAAGATAATCAGCCACAGCTGGGCCGGTGGTTTCATGCCTGTAATCCCAGCACTTTGGGAGGCCAAGGCGGGTGGATCAGGAGGTCAGGAGATCAAGACCATCCTAGCCAACATGGTGAAACCCTGTCTCTACTAAAAACAAAAATCAGTCAGGCATGGTGTCGTGCGCCCGTAGTCCCAGCTACTCAGGAGGCTGAGGCAGGACAATCACTTGAACACAGGAGGTGGTAGTTGCAGTGAGCCAAGATTACACCACTGCGTTCCAGCCTGGGGAAAAGAGCAAGACTCCACCTCAAAAAAAAAAGATAATCAGCCACTTAGCCCCATGGCCCAGATTTATGTATAAACTGTAAGCAGTTGCCTATACTTACCCTTGGAACCAGCATGACATTGTAAAAACAGCATTAAACAAGAAGTCACGTGCTGGAAGACAAAGGGTCTAAATACTGGTTTCCCCACCCAGATGTACAATATTGGGTAAATGACTAAACCTTTCTCAGATTCCCTCATTTGATAAAGGGGATGATGATACCAACCCAACAGGTTTGTTGTCAAAATAAAGTTGGGGGAAAAAAAGGGGGCTGGGTGCAGTGGTTCACGCCTGTAATCCCAGCACTTTGGGAGGCCAAGGTGGGCAGATCACCTGAGATCAGGAGTTCGAGACCAGCCTGACCAACATGGTGAAACCCCATCTCTACTAAAAATACAAAAATTAGCTGAGCGTGGTGGCAGGCATCTGTAATTCCAGCTATTTGGGAGGCTGAGGCAGGAGAATCGCTTGAATGCGGGAGCCGGAGCTTGCAGTGAGCAGAGATCACACCATTGCACTCCAGCCTGGGTGACAGAGCAAGACTCCATCTCAAAAAAATAAATTAAGTAAGTAAATTTAAATTTTTTTTAAAAAGCCGACATTAAAGCATGTGTGGCAAGGAGTAAGTTCATTTCCTATAATCCCATTAAGCGATGTAAGTAAAAATTCCTTCCTTCCAATAATATCTTTATGGTGCCAGGAGTTTTGATTAGTTCCTTTGGGATGACTTTCTGTTTGCCAAGGGTTTCCAGTTAAAATGCAAATTATCCTTGGGAAAATGGTAATCTCCAAACCTGGGTTAGTTTACCATGATGGCTTTTAACAGGCCCCTGATGAAACAGAACCCAGAAGACTGATGTATTTAATCACTGCAAAGAGAAAGGGACAATGGGAATATGTGGTGTCATTTTACGGTTTGGAGAAAATAATACTCAACTGGAAATGTTTAGGTTCTAGTTTCAGCTCTGCCACTAGGTAAATGAAGCATTCAATCTCTCAACAAATATTTATTGAGGGCCAGGCAGTGTGCTGGGGAGAAAGTTCATTTCTCCTTGAAGCAGACTAGTCAGAGAAACTGAGACTATGCCAATAGTTATTCAAATAGTTGTTCAATTACACTTGTAGAAAGTGCAATGAGGAAGTAGAGAGAGGCATAACCTCCTGAGAGGAGTCAAGGAAGATTTCCCTGAGGAGACGAGATTCAACTAAAACATGAAGGATGAGAAGGAACTGGCCAGGCAAGGAGAGAAGGGAAACAAAAGAACACCACGTTCAAGGGCCCTGAGCAAGGAAAAAACTTGGCACTGGTGAGGAGCTAAAGGAGGCCAGCATGATGGTGCACTGTAAGAGAAAAGATGGCAGTAGATAATACTGGGTAACTGGGCAGAAAGGAGGAAAATAAGGACTTTAGTAGTTTTTTTTTTTTTTTTTTTGAGACGGAGTTTTGCTTGTTGCCCAAGCTAGAGTGCAATGGCACGATCTCAGCACACCATGACCTCCACCTCCCAGGTTCAAGCGATTCTCCTGCCTCAACCTCCCAAGTGGCTGGGATTACGGGCAGTGCCACCACGCCTGGCTAATTTTGTATTTTTAGCAGAGACAGGGTTTCTCCACGTTGGTCAGGCTGGTCTGAAACTCCCAACCTCACATGATCCACCTGCCTTGGCCTCCCAAAGTGCTGGGATTACAGGCGTGAGCCACTGCGCCTGGCGGGAATTTAATTGTTTGATACAAACAATAATGAGCTATTAACAATAAAGAATTATCTGTGCACGGTGGCTCATGCTTGTAATTTCAACATTTTGGGAGGCCAAGGCAGGCAGATCTTTTGAGGTCAGGAGTTTAAGACCAGCCTGGTCAACATGGTAAAACCCTGTCTCTACTAAAAATACAAGAACTAGCTGGTTGTGGTGATGTGTGCCTGTAGTCTCAGCTACTCATAAGGCTGAGGCAGGAGAATCGCTTGAACCTGGGAGGCAGAGGTTGCAGTGAGCTGCACTCCAGCCTGAGGAACACAGCGAGACTCCATCTCAAATAATAATAATAATAAAGGGTTAATAGGAGCATAGCAGGGTCTAGTTTACATTTCAAGAAGTTTACTCTGGTTGCAGTGCGGGAAGTAGATTTAAGAAGAGAGTAGACCAGGGGCAGTGGCTCACGCCTGTAATCCCAGCACTTTGGGAGGCCGAGGCGGGTGGATCATAAGGTCAGGAGTTCCAGACCAGCCTGGCCAATATGGTGAAACCCCATCTCTACTAATAATACAAAAATTAGCCAGGCGTGGTGGCAGCCACCTGTAGTCCCAGCTACTCAGGAGGCTGAGGCAGGAGAAATGCTTGAAACTGGGAGGCAGAGGTTGCAGTGAGCAGAGATGGTGCCACTGCACTCCAGCCTGGCAACAGAGTGAGACTCCATCTAAAAAGAAAAAAAAAAAAAAGAAGAAGAGGCCAATCGTGGTGGCTCACGCCTGTAATCCTAACACTTTGGGAGGCCGAGGTGGGTGGATCACCTGAGGTCAGGAGTTCAAAACCAGCCTGGCCATCATGGTGAAACCCCATCTTTAAAAAAAAAAGAAGAAGAAGAGAGTAATTTAGGAGTTAGAAGAGTATTGCAGTAAATTCAGGCCAAAATAATAATAATGATAATAATAGTGGCAGGCTCTAATGTAGTGGCAGTAAAGACAGGGAGAAGTGAACAAAGTTGTGTTGAGGTGCAGTGGATCACACCCCTCATCCCAACATTGGGAGGCCAAGGTGTGAGGATCATTTGAAGCCAGTAGTTCAAGACCAGTCTGGGCAATATAGGGAGCCTTCTGTCTGTAGAAAAAGTAAGTAAATAGGCCAGGGCCAGGCCCAGTGGCTCATGCCTGTAATCCCAGCACTTTGGGAGGCCAAAGTGGGTGGATCACCAGGTTGGGAGTTCAAGGCCAGCCTGACCAACATGGTGAAACATCCATCTCTACTAAAAATACAAAAATTAGCTTGGCATGGTGGCACACACCTGTAGTCCCAGCTACTCGGGAGGCTAAAGCAGGAAAATCACTTGACCCTGGGAGGTGCCTGTTGTAGTGAGCCGAGATTGTGCCACTGCACTCCAGCCTGGCAACAGAGCCAGACTCCATCTGACCAGAAAGAAAAAAAAGAAGTAAATAAAAGAAGTGGACTAAATTGAGAAGTTGCAGTCTTGGTGGTTGATTGGATTGGGAGGGAGGACCCTAAAGGAGAAGTTGGTTTTAAGATGATAACTGGTTTGATTTGAGCATTTGGGCAGGGGAGATATGGGTTTTCTGGTGTGGGGAATGCTGGAGGAGATTTGTTGGCGAGAAGGGAGTCATAAATTGATCTTTGGACATGCTGGGAGAACATGAAAGATCAGATGGAAATGTTCTGTAGAGACCAGGCATGGTGGCTCATGCTTGTAATCCCAGCACTTTGGGAGGCCAAGGTGGGAGGGTCACTTGAGCCTAGGAGTTCAACACCAGCCTGGATAATATAGCAAGACTCTGTCC